TTGTTCGAACCAGCAAACACCAAGAGTCTGGTTAATATTTGATTAACCATAAGCAAACTTAACAAGTCTGTATAATATCGAAATCACTGAACACACACTTAATAAATTTGATTCAGTCTTGAATTACTAACGCACGCTGACAGGTTTCCATTATTTTCAAATCTGAGAACATATATTAAACAAGTTTGTTTAGTTTTCGAGTCACTTAACACGCACTCCACAAGTCCGCCTAATGTCGCATCTCTAAACACCAACCGAAAAGGTAAACTTTCGTGACGTAACAAAAATTAATTAGAAACAAGATTAATGACTGCTTGGGGACATAAACAAAGTTCAGAGAAAGCAACTCTGTACAAGGGGACGCAATCTCGGTCAACGAAATGGTCCTTCTTACCTGTGTGGGGCAGAGGATAATATGGGTTTGTGTGACTGCCGGGCGTTTTCGGTCAAAGGGATACAAGTACATCTCTATGTTATTAGGTTGGTTTTGTTTCAGGTGATGCTGCGGTTAGAGTCAAATAAATGATGTTTGTAGTCGAGGTCGTCGTTGTTATTAGTGACGTTTAGCTGCTACCGTAATACTGGCAGTAGTAGTCGCTGTGTTTTTTGTAATTTTTGTCGTTGAAAGCTGCAATACTCATTGTAATAGAGTCGTAATCATTGTTGTTATCTAGCAGCAACAGTAGCATTTGCAGCAGCAACAGTAGTAGTAGAAGCAGCAGCAATAGATAAACTTTCAGGGGAAATTACAACGTGATTTAACTCAAGGATATCTTAAATGCAAAATGTACAGTGGTACATCGACTTACGAACCGCTCTACATACGAACTTTCCGAAATACGAATTTTAAAAAATATCTGGTGTTGACCTCTACCACAGATTCTAGATAAAAGTTTTGATGTTGTTGTGTCGTTACTGCGTCGGAACGAATACGACGCAACAAAAGATGGTGTTTGCAACGCATGCTTGTTTATGCACCTCTGTCGGTATTTGTATAATCAGACAATTCAAGGAGGAACAGCACATATTTTCGGAGAAAAAAGAAGCAGCAGAAGTAGTAACAGCTGCAACAACAACAAAATAGTAACAACAACAACAACAACAAAGCAGTGCTAACATTGCAGGTGGAAAAAGGGGGAGTGGGTTGTGTCATCCAAATCCAGTTTTTTTTTAGAGCCACTAATTTTTTCAATGACAATATCATTAATCAATTCAGAAGGGTTTTAAGGAAACGACAGACGAAAAGAAGGTTATATACGTTTTTTAAGCTTCCTCTTCAAAGGAACATAAGGAAGCTAACGATGACACCTGATGACAGGATTTAGTAGAAAAGGATTTTCATATTTTCATTTAACATTCATACGTATAATGTAAACCCAAAGATGTGACTTTAAAATGTGGGTGCTTTCGTTTCTAATCACCCCAAACAGACAGTCGGATATTTCAGGGGGTGGTAGATAGGCTGCATGCAGTCGTGGGACCTAGACTGCCTGCAGTCGTCGGAACTAGGCTGCACTCTCTCGTGGGACGTAGGTGGGTTGTTGTTAGGTCCAGTTATAGGTGTGTTGCGGTAGTTGAAAGCACCACAAAGCTGAGAAACCCGGTCTTACCACCCTATAAAATATTTAACTGTCCCCGTGACGTCATCTGGAAAAAGGAAAGGAGGGGGGGGGATGACTTATTACGAAAGAACTAATATGTATAATCGTTAAAGAAAATCTATATATTTTGCCTACAAAAAAAGTTAGTGAATGTTCTACCCCACCCGGAGCGATTAACACATGGTGACACAAAGTGCCACCATTCGGAGGAGAACCCCACATGCACAAGTCCCGGAGAAGGATTTAAAATAACAACAAATAGAGTGCCATATTCGGGCGGTGTCAACCAGCAACCTATAAATGCTGATGATAAGGACATTTAATCACACCAGGACATCACACTGAGCGATAAACACCCGATGACACAAATGCTACCATTCGCTACCTGGGGACAGGTAACAGAAACCTTGTTCAACCCATAGGTTGGGTTATATTAGGGCCCCCAGACAACAGCCAGGGTGGGGCTCCATGATAACAAAACAATTGCGTCTCACATATGGACGCATGTTTCACGTACCTACACATACTTGTTCCTCATTCCTCCTGATCAATTTTTGTGCATTTTAATAATTTAGGTGAAATCATTTGTTTCCTTTAATTTTTAATGTATTTTTTTTTTTTTAAACTTTGAATCTGATAACGGATTTTCAGTAAGATGTAATGGGAAATTAGGTTTCGAGATATGAACTTTTTGGAGTACAAACTACCGTCAGGAACGGATTAAGTTTTTTAGTTGAGTTACCGTTGTATTTGGTATTCTAGTCATCCCCTTGTGGCATGTAATTTTCCGGGGCCTCTCCACGGGTGATCCTCATACACTTGGTGGCACTTGTGTCATCGAGTGTTTATCGCTTGTGTGATGTCCTAGTGGGGTAAAATGTACTACTACTACTACTAGTGCTGCTACTACTGCTGCTGCTGTTGCTGCTGCTGCTTTATTTGGTGAGTAATGTCCCTTAATTAAGTGTCATTATAATAATGCCACTCCACTTCTTGTCAGATCTTGGTCAGATATGACTGAGCTAATGTATAACTGTAGTCGGCACTACATGTCTTTTGTTTACGCCGAATGTTGGACCAAACCTGACATCCCCACACTGTGCCTACTGTTTCGAGCGAAGGGCGCATTCGGAGTATACCAGTTGCATCCTAGAAAAAGGGAATGCAATGCGTAAACTTTATGCTACGACATAATATATGAAGCTCTTGGACTTAGCTGCCAGCTAGTCTAAGAAGGACGTGGTTTGTATGGACTTGAGTAGTACTCTAACACTTTTGTTACAATATGAGCTGTCATCGTTCTCACTGCTCCTGTGGTTCGATGACTTGTTCTGTGTGACCGGCAAGTTTGCCAAAAAACTACCCAGTCACTAATTATTTGAGCCAGTAGCTTCTGCAGCTTGCTCTGTTTTAAACTTATTGGTGTTATCTTTCTTTTGGAGGGAACATGGTGCATGGTCTCTATAATACCACCCAGATATTGCGCTTTATGGCGAGGTCCTGAAATGCCATGCTCTGCCATGTCATGGTGATGAGGGGGGGAAAGGGCTTTCTAGTAGAGCTGTACCGACCATTCGCTTCGTATTCGCTTCGGGGCTGAACAGTGGATCTAATCAGTATTCGCTTTTCGGCCTAATACTTGAGGTCGGGCCGATTACGAATATTAGTTACGTTACACCCGCTGTAGCCACTGCGAATTACTTGTTTTTATACTTAGAATACTTTCAATTCTAGTTATTATTTACCACAGACAGACTGAAGGATGCAAGACACAACATGTTTTCAAATGTTTCTGTACTACATTTTGTGAAGTAAAAGTTCAGCGTACATTTGAATGTATTTTTTTAGATCCATTTTATACACTTTACACTATTCGTATTCGTATTCGATCAAATAGTTGGTCCCGTTCTTCGTATTCGGCCGAATAGTGATAATCACCTATTCGGTACAGCTCTATTTTATAGTACTGCTCGGCATGGATATGGGCTGTGATTCTGTAGTGAGTCATTTTCTCCTCATTAATTTATGCCCGATAGATGACGTCAGTAATAGATGTAAGACAAATGTTTTGACTGGTTGAGAACACGAGATTTATGTCTTGAGTTTCATGAGAGACATCTGAAAGTCAGGTTTTATGTGAAACATGATTGTTCACAGGATCTGTGTGAAATGTGAATTATCACGGGCCAGACACGACTTTCAACAGTGGGAAATTCGTGAGAATGAATCCAGAATATTCTAGAATAGGATAGATCAGAGGGCTATATAATAACGAGGAAAAGGTTTGTGGGCAGTCTCGTTTTGGACCCAGGAACAGTGTGCATGGACAGCGGTGGATGATGTGTGAATTCAGCAGATGTTTTTGAGTGAATTTGTTCCAGTCCAACTTGGCGAAGAAAGCTGGCCAGTAATTTTCTGACGGTCGTCTGAGTGTATCTGTCAGGACAGCTGTTGTGTTTCGTTTACGATGTTAGTGTAAATCGATTGGGATTTCTGCTTGAAGGTAATAATTTATTCTTGCATTATAATGTGTGCCTGGACAGTTGTCAAGTTCATGTGCCGGCTGTGTAAGCCGCGAGTGGAAGATTAAAGTACTGGAACAGTATCGTGTTGTTTCCCAGTCGTCCATTTTTTCTGCTCGTCGTGTGATGTCGGTTTTGTGAGTTGGCAGCGAGCGTGCGATGAGGCGAGCCAGTAGAAGATAAAAGAGAATCATCGCAAGATGGGAGCTCGTCCGGGATCATCGACGTCCTAATGTGGTTGTTCTTACATGTTTAACTAAAATGTTAGATAGTTACTTTTGGTAGGGGCTTTTTGTTCTTCTTCAAAATTAATTTTACTTTCCAGTTTGTCTAAAATGGGTCGAGTTATTGTCATGGGAAGTAAAGGCGACCAGGATGATGATGGCCATATCCCCCAACATGTGGAGTTTGGTTTGCTGGTTGTCTAGGATAAAAGGGTCTCGTTGCTGGTTGTCTGGTATACAAGGGTCACGTTGCTGGTTGTCTGGTATACAAGGGTCACGTTGCTGGTTGTCTGGTATACAAGGGTCTCATTGCTGGTTGTCTGGTATACAAGGGTCACGTTGCTGGTTGTCTGGTATACAAGGGTCACGTTGCTGGTTGTCTGGTATACAAGGGTCACGTTGCTGGTTGTCTGGTATACAAGGGTCACGTTGCTGGTTGTCTGGTATACAAGGGTCTCATTGCTGGTTGTCTGGTATACAAGGGTCACGTTGCTGGTTGTCTGGTATACAAGGGTCACGTTGCTGGTTGTCTGGTATACAAGGGTCTCATTGCTGGTTGTCTAGCACACAAGGTCAATAGCTGAATACACAGGGTTCGTTGTTGGGAATTAAGAATTACTACAAGCATATCTAATTTGGATGAACTGTCTGAA